CAGGGAGCCCGATGCGGGACTCGATCCTGGGACTCCAGGATCATGACCTGAGCTGAAGGCAGTCGCTTAACCAACTGAGCCACCCAGGCACCCTAGATTTACTTTTTAAAGAAAAATTGAAAGGGTAGTACAGCAAGTTCCCATATCTTCTACGTCCAGTTTTACTTATGATTAACATCTTATATTTGGCTGGTACATTTGTTACAGTTAATGAAACATTATTATTAACTAAGGTCCATAGTTTATTCATATTTCTGTAGTTCTTACCTGATGTCTTTTTCTGTTCCAGGATCCCACATTATATTTATTTATCATGTCTCCGTAGGGTCCTCTTGGATGTCCAGTTTCTCAGACTTAACTTGTGTTTTATTTTGTAGTATTTTGTATCCCAACTATTTTGTAGGATGCCCCTCTATTGGAATTATTGATTGATTTTTTTTCTCATGATTAAACCAGGGTTATGGGTTTTGGGGAAGAAGACCATAGGGGTAAAGTGCCATTTTTACCACATTATATCAAAGGTACGTGTTATCAATGTGGTTTCTCTCTTATTGATATTGAACTTGATCATCTGGCTGACATAGTGTTATGTGGTTTCTACACTGTCAATTACATTTTTTTTCTCCTTTCCCTATTGTGCTCTTTGATAGGAAATCACTATATGCAGCTCATATTCAAGGAGTGGGGATTATGCTCCCCCTCTTTGAGAATGGAATGTCTACATTAATTATTTGGAATTCTTCTACAAGGGAGATTTATCTCCTTTCTCCCATTTATATATCTCCTTTCTCCCATTTCTGTATATATTCAGTCATTTATTTATTTCAGTATGGAGTCATGGGTACTTCTTTTACCCTATCCGGTTTTCTGTCCAGTACTGTTTTATTTTGTTACTCAAATTGTCCCAGGATTGGCTGTTGGGAGCCCTCTTTCAGTTGGGTCTGTGTCCCTTTGACATACCTGTATCAATGTAGCTGGGTTTTTGTTTTGTTTTGTTTTGTTTTGTTTAGCACTTCCTTATTTTCTGGTACTGTAAGATGCTGCAGGCTTATCTTGTATATTTCCTGCCCCAGTTCTAGAGTCAGTCATTTCTTGAATGAGCCCTGGTCCCTTTTAATGGAGGATGGTGTCAGAAACCCATATCTGGGTGATAGTTGTTACTGGGCTGTCCTTGCTTATAGGCCCTTTTAGCTAACAGAGCAAGGGATATATGTGTATGCTAAGCTATATATAGGCATATCTATAAATATCTCTATATGTAACCATCTGTATCTATATTAAGCTAAACATGAGTTTATTCTGATGTTCCCAACTCTAATCCATTACCACATCTCTCCAACATTGAGAAGCATGGCTCCCACCATCTGTTATCCATTTATTTAGTCACTCAATTCCTGTGTGTGTGTGTGTGTGTGTGTAGCTGTATCAGAAATGTAAATTTATTCCCAGGTAGGAAGCTACAGTTCTTGTACACAGTTCCTTTTGCCTTTAGTCTTGCAGACTCTACTTATTTCCAAAGTTATTTAGCTTAGCACCTTTCTACCCAGCCCTTCAGTGAGGTTGTGTATACAATTGTAATACAGTTAGATGTTCCTGTCATGGTCAGTGTTCTTTTCTGGGATCCTGGACCTCTTAAATGATATTTTGAAATTTCACTACCCTTTAACATACTTGTAATATATGGATAGTTATACAGATCATACTGTTGATCTAGTGGTCTCTGGACTGTTCATGTAGGGCAGTAGTTCTCAAACTTTCTTTTGGTCTCAGGACTACTTTATACTCTTAGAACTTTAAAATCCCTAACAGTTTCAGTTTATAAGGATAATATCTCTTCATATTTACTGTATTAGAAATTGAAACTGAGAAGCTTCAAAAAATAATAAACCCAACATGTTAACATAATTTACATTTTTGTGAGCAATAACTTTTCTAAAACAAAAAAATTAGAATAATATTGTTTTACATCTTTACAAATCTCTTTTATAGTTAGTTTACTAGAAGAGGGAGTCTCATATCTGCTTCTGCATTCAATCTGGTGTGAAATGTTGCTTTGGTTGAAATGTATAAAGAAAATGAAGCTTCACATAGACAAAAAGTTGGAAAAAGAAGATTTTAATAGCCTTTTAGACAATTGTGTACTTTTTTTTGATACAACTACAAAACTCAACAAGTAGTTATTCCTTCAAGGTCAGTTGTAGCATGAAATCTGAATGCATATCTGTGAGTTTTTTTACATTCTGTTACATTAAAATCCATTGGTCTGTCTTGCACATTGAATGGATCTTTTATGATTTTATAATATCATGCATTGGCCACTTGGAAAATATTGGCTCAATGAATTATGCAGATTTTCCAGATGTTGACACATTTCATCATACAGTATTTAAAAATCACATTTATTAATATTGCTACCAATCTCATCAAAGAGTGATTAATTACTGAGGAGCTATCAGGCTTACTGTGGCACATACAAGGCTTACAAATTTCCAATTTTAACTTGGTAATGTGAATTTTATCAATAAACAAATGCTGTCAATATTGAACTTCCGGGGGTAGTAGGCTCACTTTGTTTTTTCAAGAAAATGTGTGCCAAACACCCAAGTCTAAGAAACTATAATTTTTATTAGTAGTTCTTTTAAGTAAAAATAGTTTTCCATGAAAAAAAAAAGCTGGTTTAGCCTACAACTCGAACAATCTTACTAGTGCTTTTGCTTGAGACAGCCATTATCCTGTAGTAATCATTTTATTGCTTTATCATGGACATTCTTTAGTGAAATTGATGATGAAGAATATACTGGTAGTATACTGGAAGACTTAAAACTGGTAGTTTGGTGCCACTCCCTTGATTCATGTTAAGACATAAATACTTTTACTCAGCAATGCTTTTATACCATCAGTCAATGTCATTATAGAAAAGGAGCAAATAATGTCTTAGTATTACTATTAAA